TATCTCATTTCTGGGAGTTAACTGTAAGTTAAAGGTTTGTAATAGGAATATCGAGGCTGTTAAAAAATGTAAGGTATGACACCACTTTCCGCTTCTTGACACTTTACTTGGGGTCGTGAACCTACGTCAATGAACAAAAATATTAACAAAAAACAATTCATTATTCTTAGAATGTGAATATTAATATCTTCCATAAGAACAAATTTTCTAAAATGGAACTTTCTAGTAATGACTTTGTAACTGTTATTCCAGTGTACAGTAAGCTGAAATAGAAATATAAGTTTTTTAAACTAATACCGAGATATAACATCTTCACTTATATTAGAATCTAGGTCGCCGTATAACATTAGCTTCTTTATTTTGTTTTCTTAAAGAATGTTTTAAAATTTCCTCTTTAGACTTTACACGCGGCTATACGAATAATTAATATGAGAAATTTCATATTATCTCAAGGTAGAAAAAAAAATTGTTTTCGCGTCGTTACTGTTCTCAATACTGATTGTATAGTTTTTAATAATACTTATAGTAAAATAAAAGCAAATAAAAAGCTTTTAAATATATGACAGATTTGCTCATCGTTATGTAGTGGAATACGACGTATTGAACTACGTCCATGCCTTTCTGGGCTTTATATTGATTCGATAAATTACTCTACTCAGTTTGTTGCTTCAATTTTTTATGCTTTTAAAGCGAACCCTGCAACTACATATATTTACTATTTCACGCGGCTATACGAATTATTAATATGCGTTTTCGCGTCGTTACTGTTCTCAATACTGATTGTATACTTTTTAGTAATACTAATAGTAAATTAAAAACAAACAATAAGCTTTTAAATTAACCATAGATTTGCTCAACTTTATGTAGTGGACGGTGAAGCAATACTTCACAGTCTACTACTACGTCCATGCCTTTCTAGGCTTTATATTGATTCAATAAAATACGCTACTCAGTTTGTTGCTTCAATTTGTGATGCTTTTAAAGCGAATTCTGCAACTACATACATATATTCACTATTTCATATATCTATGTGTTATAGGAAATAAAGTTTATAGTTATAGGAAATATAACGTTGATTCTAATCATTATCTTTTATATAATATCAACATGTCTTGTGCGACAAATAACAAAACCATAGTAACCAAATACTAAATTGATAAACCAGTATGTTAAATAAAACATACATAACTACTTTTGTAAATGAAGGGAGTGTGTATAAGAAAGGCATCCTTATTTATGGATACATGCCAAAAGAATAAGGATAGGGTCTGATAAAATTACTTTTTAGATAAATTATTATATTAATGTCTTACAGTTCAAGTGCGAACAATACATAGTTCCATAGTTGTCCGTTGTAATAAACGTAGGTAATTTGACGAGTAATATTAAAAACGAATTTTGAAATTGGCATATTTAATAGTTCAAAAAATATTTGTTTCAATATGACGCAATTTATCAAAAACAATGAAAGATATTTCCAGAAAATGAATTGTATTTTCTTTGCGTATAAAGCTCTTTCTATTAAAAATATTGATAGTTACTTAACTTAGCTTATCGATACCCCCTTTGCTGTTTTATAGGATTGTTGAATGCTTTTTACATATTACTTAATATTCTTCATCTTCTTCTACCTGGCAATTTCCCAGCTTTAGCCAGGGTCTGCCTTAAATGTTGTGAATACTTTTAGCTAATAGTTTTTACGACCGGCCGCCTGCCTGATATCAATCCTCTTTGGGAATGCATTAAGCAGTGATGTCTAAATACTCTATCAAAGTACATATGACTCGGAAAAGTCACATTGGTACTTGCTAGGGCCAGGATCGAACCCGCGCCCTCGTGCATGAGGGGCGGGCCTTTTAAACACAAGGCCATTACTTACTTTTATGACATAAAAATAAAATAATTAAAATTATTACACGAAACTACGAAAATAATTGCGTAAGATTATATTAAACAGAAAAGATTATAAACTGTAAACATTTTAAAAGGTTTATATAGTGCTGATAAATTTATGTATTAGATACGTAATAACAATAAACGATCATTTTATACTACAGAAAAAAATATTATATATCTATATATTGTGTCTTACAGATTAAAGCTGAGTCATTTTATTTCGAGCAAGAGACCTTACTAAAATAAATGTGGGAGTGCTCTTAACTTGTGTACGAGAAAGGAAAGTTACATAGTAAAAAGGTTGTATTACGAAAAAGACTTAAAATTCTCTCTATTGCTAACACATTTATTTTCCAGTACTTTGTATTGGAATGAGTTTGAATTACTATTTTGATTTAACTTGTGTCCCCGTAACCCAAAATAATAAAGTCATCTGTAAGATTTCTCGATTTAAAAAAATATGGCGAGGTTACAGTTTTTTGTCAACGTATTATAACTTTTTAATTGGTATTAGAATTTTTTCGAATTGTATACAAAAAATATCTAACTCCTATTCGTCTTCCTTTCAGTATCAAAATACAAACTAGGATCTTGGATTAAATAAAATCCAACCCTCTAAGGTTGAAATTCCTGGAGGAAACAGGAAAAAACAAACATTTGTCAAATAAGACTTAAGAATTTTTAATATATTAATTACATAAGAATTAAAAATTTCTTCAAACTTTATCGTATAATACTTATGGCAGCTACGAGGTTCATATCAAAATAAAAAATATATATATTTTGCTACGGAAAGTTTTAGATTAGTTTTTCAACACTCAATTTGTACCACAATGTTCAATGTTCATATAGTCACATATATTTTGCAACACAGAAACTAAAATTTCTCACATGGCAAAGAAAAACATCCAATACAAAATATGGTTGTTTTTTGTTTACGTTATGAAAATTTCGTCTTAATCGCGTGATAAATTGTAATCTGTAAAAGTAATTTACCTAATTTGTGAGAATAACAGATTAACTGAAACATTCAGTGTTCCAGGCTTGTAAGATTCTGAATACCATATGCCTGAAGTCACTTGCAATAACGAGTTTAAATGGTTAAATTGCTTTGCTTTGATTCGAGATTCAAGTCACGTTACAGAAGACATGTAGATAGAACATAGCGTACGAAAATGTTTGGAATATTAAATAGATGTTCTCAAAAATATATCTCACTTCTATCATGGAAAGGGATATTATTCTGGATAAATGTTTAGAAGTCGAGTCTCCTGTGTTTGGTCTTAAATTATAATAATTTATATAAAAAGATATATTTTTAATTGTTTATATATTTTTTAAATTGTGATATTTAAATTACTTTACTTAAATTGTTTCTTTTAGAATGTACATTAAATAAAAATAATTCGAAAAAAAGTATCGTTTACAAGACATAGGCCAATTTATGGTTTTTGGGTTTTTTAATAGCCAAGAAAGTGTTTAAAATTTAAAACCTAAGTCTTATTTCTTTTTTTTTAATATTCTTAAAAACATATTGTAAAATATTAAATTAATGTGTATTTTATTATTATTATTTGAGAATTTAAATATATTTGGTTTATTTTATAAAAATAAATAACCTCAATAGTTTTTTATGTTGAATGCCATTGTCTAATTAATATGAAAATTTCGTTTTATCTGTTCATATAGAATTGTTAGTTTGTTTTATTGGATATGCAAATTTACCTATATTTCCGAAGTATTAATTGTTAATGGTAATGAAGTTTATTATTAATCTTTGAGTTATTAATCACGTTGTTTATGTTTAATATATATATTACTGAGTTGGAATATTAAAAATTGCATTTGTATAATCGGTATGTCGGTTTTGGGAGAATTATGTTTGAAGGCCGGCGCCTGTCCTAACATTTCTAGCAAAAGATTTGTTTTTATCGTATATATACGTATATGTTGTGAAACAGTAACTTATATATTACTTTTTCTTATAAAACTCCTAAATTAATTTATAACTTTCAACTATCCAGCGAAGCTGCTCGCCAAGTATGATTGATTAATAAATAAACAAGACAAAGTTTCGACCTTTTTCAAATTCACTTTGAGAAATGGAAATAACATTAAAATTTGAAAAGCGAAGGTCGAATTTCAATATGATTCAAACTAGTTGAAATTAATGTGGAATTCGTCAATTTCACAATAACTTACTACTTATTCTATTTCCATGTATAAAAAAGAACTTTATTTTCAAATACCTACGATATACTTCAGTATTACCTACATCATGCAGCAGAAGATTTTTTTTAATCAATTTAAAATATATCCGTTTATAATCCCAACTATAGATAAAGCCTCGTCAGGCGATATGTTTTATTCTTTTATGTTTGTTTTAGACTTAATTGACGACAATCCTGTAATAGGTTATTTTAGGAAATTTATTATTGTCGTTGCCTTTCACAAACATGCTCGATTCGTATATTTACTAAGTGAAAATGGGTTTATCCTAAAGCATCTAACTTTGATAGTTGGCTTTTTGTTACATTTTAAATAGAACGGGGAATTGTGGTCAAATGTCAGATCTATTTCGGGAATTGCCATTTAGTATTACTAAAGTAATATTTATGACCGCAAATAGATGTCAAGGCTGTAAGAGTAAATTACCCATAAATCATTTAAAAAGTCCTTGAACTCTCAGAAGCCGTAGTAATTTTAAAAGTAAAATTCTTAACAAATTCAAGATCAAAAATAACTTTCATAGAAGCCAAGAGTGAAAATGAATTTACATAATAAAATAAAATAAAATTTTAAATGTCAATATATTCTGATCTAATTTTTTACATCGAAAATATAAGGCATATCTTAGAAGCAATAATTCATGTGACATTTAAGATTTCGTAAGGTAATGTACATATGTATGTATGTCTAGGTAATTAGGTCAGTGAAATATTACCACGTTGCTAATAATACTGTATATAGTTTTTGAAGACATACAATGTGGGATTTAAAGTATTTATAACATACCTACTATTATACTGAAATATTTTCATCAATCAATGCTTTTTACCTAGAAAATAACGATTTCATCTCTAAGACAGTGAAAGAGGAAATTAATGCGTGGCGCTGGTATTGATGTAACAGAGCTCTTTGATAAAGTTCATCCATGGGTCAATTACGATTCAATGTTAGCAAAATGCTTAGTGGGGCCCCTTCGAGCTGATAGACCTGATGCTGAGGAACTTTTTGACATCACAAATGCATCTCCAAAAACTGAACGTCTTAGAGAACCGTCAAAAGCCCAAGAACTCGTTAGAAAATCAATGGAAAATTTAGCAAACTGTATACCACCTGTGAGGAAAAAGATTACTACTAAAAGCGAAGATAACGTTAAAGGAAGTTATCCAAGCAAAATCCTGTAAAGTCTAATACAGTCGAGTGATCTGCCCGTGTCAATAAGTCGTAGAGCTGCGTCGAGTCCAATTAATTCTGACAAAGCACATGGGTCAGCGTCTCCATTGCGTTTCGACTGGATACAAACATCAATGAAACTTACTATCTCAATATACACTGGCCTTTTAGCTAATCCAGGTGGATGTGCAAAGATAACAGACGGTCGATTACCCGTGTAAGTTACTGACGGATGGCTTAGAACGGTGCAGTTAATACCAGAGGAACAAATTAAAGGTCCTTTGCAATTGAGGGTTTTCTCTGAGAGCGGAAAAATTGAGGTCAGATTCTATTGAAAGTTATAATTTGAAACAAAAATCGTATTTTCATCTTTTATCACACCTCAAAGTTTGTTATTAGCATTGATTTTATTTCCTTAACGTTTATGCACATTTAAATAATGTACGAGTAGGTAATGGCGTCTAAAGTGGAACACAAGGTTCGGAAGAACGTGGGTCTGATGTCCTTCGGCGCTGCCACTCAGATATCCTCTCCGCTGACTTTGGACTGTCGGGTGATGCATGTGGAGCTAGTCTCCCATGACACTACGTTACTTGTTTTGTCACCTGTGTCTGGGCCGGTTATTGTGCCACAGGGACACCATATTAGAGTTCACCATAAAATAAACGGTAATTATTTGTCCCGAGAGGATTTTAATAATTAATTATAGTATTATCAGGTCTATTAATTAATATTGCTGAATTAAATAAAATACTAATTATTAATAAATACATTTTGATGCGTCAATCCAACCACAAATACTGTGTGACTTTTTTTCTCTCCTAACTGTAATAACAATTATCCACATGAATGTAGCCAGTTTAAAAAAATTTAATAGTCCTTCAAATACGACAAAATTTAATTTATACACAAAGCAATACCGAATTGATGAAATCAAATCTTACATCTTATATCGTACGTGATCGTTTTTCGAAGTTCCTTATATGTAATGGTCTTTACAAAGCCGCTTACAAGTTTAGTTACCTTCAGATAAAGAGTGTATACGTTCATACACCCCAGTGGGAGATGGGTGGGACAATTTTGGCGGTGACCTGAGGGCATTGATATTGGGGATTAAGAGATATGATACAGGGGACCTATCACCGTACCTCACGTCCTCACGTCACGAAGTTGGGTGATCTCGTCACGCTTTCGGGACCGTATGGAAATTTTCAATTACAGAAGGTGAGGAGACATAAAAAAAAATTTACACATGTATTTCATGAATTCGGTTATGGTGAATTGTTGTTGAATTTATTCAAAAATGAATGCATATATAGTTATTTTCCATTACAAGAGAATCATTCGATTCATATACACAAATTCTACATTGAGTATTTGACTACTGTTTTTATATTTGTTTTTATAGTGTTTATCGTGAGAACTTTTTTTAGGCTCATTACATCATTAACATTATCTAAAGCATCGAAATTGATAACTACGCTAATTGGTATAACAATAAAAAGTGACCGAAACTGCACTAAGAACGTAAAAAATTCATTGGAACTATACATACATATATTCATATAACATATATTCATTTCAGCTAAAACAAGTAAAGGTAATGTATTTGATAGCCGCAGGCAGCGGGATAACGCCGATGTTGGGCTTATTGAGATTTATGCTTGCGCGATCTAACCTCAAATGGTAAGATTATTAGGATCTACAGTATCTATTGGATATTGAACTGTTATATAGAAACTCGATTAAATATATGTGCTTCTATGTTTGAAAGAATAAAAAGAAGAAAAAAAATTTTTTAAATGTATCAGACGGTTATACTCTGTTTTATTTATGATTGAAATTAATACCGTTTATATAAATTATATAACTTTTATATTCTTCTGACAGCAAACGCGTCCACTTGCTTTTCTTCAACAAAACAGAAGAAAAAATACTTTTAAAAGAAAAAATTGATGAAATAATAAAACAAGACGACAGGTGAGTGATAATATCTCTTCAAACTATTATAATTATTGAAGAAAATCATTTTGAATGAAAATTACCAAAAAAGAATTTTTTTCACTCGAATATTAGAACCACTTGACATTTATTGCTTACCTTAAAAATTCCGTATAATTGCAAGTTGAAAAAATAATTATTGCGTATACTACAATATTAACAACACAGTAGATACATACATATATAATGAAAATACTTACATCGATATATGTATGAGTTAAATTTACGAACTTTTAAATACGTTAGCCGTGAATACAGTAAAGGTATTAAATCAATGTATCACAATTTATATTTTCTTTGAGCAGAAATGTAATCTAATTTTCGGGATTTCTTAAATCAAATCAGCTTCCGTAGATACTTGAATTTACCAGGTGAAGATTTCCCAACCTTGACTTTATAATAATTTAAAACATATTGTTGACAATAATTATGACTTATAATATCTAAATATCAAATAGTAGTAAAAATCTTTCCTTGATATGTTTTTGGAAATTTGAGTAACATTAATTTTATCAAACTATGAATGGAAATCCTTGTAAAGTTGTATGTTGTTGTTAATCTGATTCCAAGACAAACGCTTTTACAGATTAAATGTCATTCACGTCTTATCAAACGCCAGCTCGTCTTGGACAGGCCTTAAGGGCCGGATTAGCAGCGAGATCCTTTCTCTAGTTATAGATAAGGAGCTTTACACACAGGAGCAACATTTCGCATAACTTTGTGGCAAAACCGAGTTTACGCAAGCCGGTCTAGAGATTTTAAAGAGGTTGGGTGTGAAAGAGAACGATATACATGCATTTATTGGATAATGTATTTGATTACGTATAAATATGTACAGTATGTTTGAATTTTATTTTACATCAATGTTTTATTTTAAAAAATTGTTTAATATTTTCTATATCTTAACAACCAAACAATAAGCAGTGATTTTATAAATTATGATGTTATTTATCAAAGAAGTATTAAACAGTGTTCGTAATTGTTTTATGAACAAAGAGGGACAGACGTATTTATATAGTTACCTGTCTTAACATAAATTTATGAGTTACATATATATATAAAGAATGAAACATTCGTTGGACTATCTACTATATTCTTACGTATTTAATTTTGAAATTCGTGATAAAAATTATTTAATATTCTTAAAATGATGCGACTATTGATTCATATAGCAAAAAGTTTCGCTGCTTTCTCTTAGAAGTGGAAAATTTTCATAGTACCTTTATTTAAAACAATTTTTGTACAGATGATAATATATAAATATACATATATATGTATATAGTGTTAGCGGTAAAAAGGAAAACTCGTCCCAGGAGTGAGAAGGTAAATGCGTAGTTCAGTTAATGTTATCAATTATTTTAATTGTCCATTTTAGTATATGAACAATGTACCTATACATTTCATGGAATAAACATAGTAATAAATAACACTGGTCAACAAAAAAATAAAAGTTGTTTGTTTCCTTTAATGTTTTTCTTGTTTCTATCTTAAATTGACGTATATTTTTTAAATTTCGAAACAGTTTTCCTCTAACAGCTTTTGTTTTTGAGTTACAGCTAACTACCCACATTTACTACTTTCATCTACATATGCATTTTTTATTCGACACTGCAACATATTTTGTTGCTGTTTTCGATATGGCTTCCTCAAGAAGATGTTGTGTGCTTAATTCCTACTCTTTTTGCTATATTTGTAGTGAATATCTATTTGCAAAGTATGGAAAACCTATGTCGAACTTGTGAAAAATGTGTATCAACAATACTTTAAAATAAAATTGTTTAATCAGAACTAGCCGTGGATTCCTCATATTGTATGTCAAAAATGTGCTGTATGGCTACTATTGTGGTCCAATGGAAACAGAGATGCAGTAATATTCGAAACACAGGTGATCAGGTGCGAGAATCTTAAAACGATCATGACGACTGCCACTTTTGCGTTGTGAAAGTAAAAGGAATTAATCCTGGCAATCGAAATAAGTGGCCACATTCTAACTTATCTTCTGCCCGACGACTCCAATTAAAATCATGAGAGGTACAACCTGGCAAATCTAAATCTTCTGATGACCCGAATCCCTGTGAACCCAAACGAAATTCATCAAGTGAAGATTCTTATTCAGTCTACAAATCTAGCCAAAAACCTCAAGAACAGATCAGGCAACTCGTGAAAGATTCTAATTTTGTCAAATCAATGACTAAAGTGGAATCGAAACCTTAGAATTATTATTTTTTTGGTTATTAGTAATTTCTTAGGCAAAAATAAATCTAACGACTACGTGGAGCTTGTTGAGGCCATGCTATCGAATTTGAAACGACTAGGGTGCAACACTAGCATAAAAATCCACTTCCTGCGCTCGCATTTAGACCGATTTCCAAAAAATCTGGATGATTACAGTAAAGAGCAGGGTGAAAGATTCCTCCAGGGTCCAGAACATTGGAAGAGCGTTATCAGGGGCGGTGGGACTCACATATGATGGCAAACTACTGCTGGAGTTTGCAACGAAATCTATCTGAAGTCGTTCAGTCAAGAAATTCCTACAAAAGATCATTTCATTGTATTATATAAAAGATTTTGTATCAATTTTCTGCATTTTTGGTCAAAATAAAAAAAAAAAATTTCAAAAACTAAAGCTGTTAGAATTTTTTTAGTAATTTTTCATATTCAGGGACATAGAAATAACTAATACCAGTGTAAAAAATAAAGGAAACAAAATATGTGTTGGGCAGTGTAATGCATCACTGGTAAAAGAGGGTTTGCGATTGCACAATTTTATTCAGTCATTACAGTATTGTCCGAAATATAAAATAAATATAATTAAAGTGTGATATACTAAATAATATAAGAATAGAAATAGTGTCGTGTCTTTATTCTAATATGTACTTAGAATATTATAATGACAGTAATAGAAAATATTGTTGACCTATAAAATTACTGTATACGTCCATACATTTTTCTAAATAGAATTAATACATTATGTAATAGAAAAAAAATATGTAATAGAAAAAAATATTTAAATAATTATATTTTTTTAAGAAATTATCTTTACTATTTTTGTAACAATTCTAAAATAGAGATACATATAGAAAATTTTAACATTGAATTTTACGATCTCTTACTAATAGGTAATTGCAAAATCATTTTAAATGACTCATATTTTATCCGAGATTTTGGTTTTTAATATTGCATATTAAATATAATACGGTAAGCACGCTTAAAGAAAGTTTGTAAAGTCAAAACAAACACAGATTTTTTATTATTTTCATCATATTATTGTAAAATTATCAATAAGAAACTTAAGCGGTTGGTGTTTAGATTGACGATACAAATAGATACTAAGTATACTAATTTCTTAGTATTATTTAGCATTGTCACTCCAAACACGATTGATCATATAAGTTTATTTCAATATTTTTGAAGTTACAGCAAAATGTTTTAATTTTAATTCTTGTTAGATTTGATTTTATAACTTATATATTTAGTAAGTACGTAGAATAAAAAAATTAATTCCAGGCCTTAAAATAAAATCATCAGTATGAAGTAATTACACTATATAAGAATGTTCTCTGTAAAATAATAAAGTGCCTACATTCCAGATGAAATGCTAAAGTTCAGAAATGAGTTGAGAATTTTAATAAATTATTATGAATAATAAAAGAGTGTTTTAATATATTCCTTTCAGTGGCTTTTATTAGTTTTTATAGAAAATATTTACAAAATTAAAAAGAAGTGTTAAAGATGCTCATGTAAAAAGAGTTCTTTATTTTAATGTTAATAATAAACATATATGTACCTAACATAATTTTAATAAAGTGGTGGAGGTTATGTATATCTTTCGGCTAAATAATGACTAAAACAGAGTGTAGTATTCACATAAATTTTTTGAATAATGTGATACAAAGCAAATGTAACACATTTTTCTTGTTTTGAAAATATTTTATAATCACAAGATATTTGCAGACGAAGTATAAGTATCTTTTTAAGTGGACAGAGGCCTAAAACTTGTCATTAAAAAAGACGGAACGATGAAGGCACATTTGCCTACTCAAATCAAAATTTTTATTGTTCTTCTTAAGCACAATTAACAATGATTATGAAATTTTATTCAACCGATATTTCACTTGAGTTTCTAATACTTCGAACAACAGAACCTTTTTCTATTAAATAATATTTTTTAATAGCC